CGATGTGTCAGTATATTGAATCTGTTACCCTAGGAGGCCGAACGAGGAGATGTACAGTCGACGATCGAAGGTCAAACGTCAGGTCAAAGGCAGTGGTGGTTTTTGGTACTGCGAGCAGACCCTTCTCCCAAGATGTGTAAGCAACCAGTTTTGGTTGCGTAAGGCAATTCAGGGGCTGAGTAGAAGCCCGGAGAGATAATATGAATCAAGCGTCAACGGTACAAGGTGAAATAAAGGTCGAAGGACCTGGTGGGTTGCCGCTTCCTCCGTCCGGCGCCGTCCGGAGCCCGGGGGCTGCGCCGCCCGGAGTGCGGCCGCATACCCGTGTCGTCGTCCCGCCCCGCCCGGGCGGCTCTGGGGACCGCGGTCCTTGCCCGCCACCCCCACGCCGCGCCGCGTGGCCCAGCGCGGGCCACCGCGGGCCCCGATGCGCCAGGGCGGTCGAGCCCGCGTCTCCGCCTCGCGCCATGTTCCCGCCGCGCGCGGCCCGCGCCGAGGTCACGGCACGCCCGCCGCCGGGCGCCGCACCGCGAGTGCCCAGTTTTAGCCCCGGATCCTCGGATGCAAAATCCTTCACCCATTTGGCCATGAGAGGGGTGCGGTGTGATGGTGAAGCAGGGAGACACGGCCAAGCCGAAGCTGAGTTCTTTGAGTGGAGTGGCACGACAGTCATAGAGTCGCGCTCGTATCGGCAACCCGGCAGTGTAGAGGCTGCCAGCGATGATGCGTGACGCTACCCGGCGATCTACCAGCACCTGACTCTGTCATGCGTGTGCGAAAATATCTCGCGTCGAACAACTGTGGAAGCGTGGTGTGCGGTGGGTGCTTGTTACCCGCGGAGATATTACGAGTTCGAATTTGCACAGGCGATCCGGACACAGGGGGGCGCGGCAGCCTATCAACATGCCTGTCCTGACTTTGACACATCATCACATTATGCACACAATTACCATACAAATATTAAATTTAAATCAAAATTATTAATTTTTATTTAAAATTTAAATTTTATTTTAAAATTTTAAAATTTAAATTTTAAATATCAAATTTTAATATAAATTTAATACAAATACTAAATTCATGACAAATTGTAAAAAGTGCAAGAACGTCACAGGTTATAGAATATTTCGACAAAAATGTTGTTTACCATGGACGATGACTCCGCCCACACCACAAAAAACTAATAGTGTCTTCGCTTTACGAGTAACGCACGCTGCATTCGAAATTGTATAGATGATCCGAGAAGAACTGCAGCCGTAGAGGCGCACTGAAGGAATCTCCTAACGGCGGCGGCGCGGATGCTCAAACCATATGTATCTCCGCACGAACTTCCGTTGCGGGGATACATAATATGTTGCATAGTAGGAAATTTGCATTAAATGATATCTGTCAATGAATCTTGTAAAACGAACCAGAACGAGTGTGACACCACACTGTTTTGTTATCTGTGTGGTTCTATGCATAACCTGATGCTATATATCTTGCCTAAACCCGTACCTCAATTTGAGATCAATTTTTTTTTAAATATCAAAACCCCCCTAGCCCTTAATTCATTCACAGATACGCAAAAATGAGCAAAATCCGTTGAACCTGAAAAACTGACTAAGGCAATCCCATTTTTGACAAAAAATTCCGTGGCTGAAAGTACGTTGACCTGGCGTGCTCTCACAATAGGAGTTTAATATGGGAGCCATAGCAGTAACACTATACCCTAATTTTCAAACCATGTGGGTCAAACGGTTCCTGAGTTATCGTTGACCGTAGCCAAATGTTGACCTGGACGGAGCCGGACAGAGTTCCGTACAACCGGACGAACGACCCATGGGAATAGCTAGCTGACGATGTCACAGGTGAGGCTAAAAATGTATGGTACTTCGCTAACCTACGGCTGAAACTCACCGGCTCGAGGGCGTGCTAATTTCACGCCCTGATGAGCCACCAAACCAGGCATTTCGGCTGGCAACCTCAAGTTCGTGACTAACAGCTGGCTAAGACCTTCACGTTCCCACAAATGAATTATCCTCGACAGGTAAGCAAACGTTCTGATAACCCTGAATGAAATCTATACGTACGATCCTCAAACCGAGCTGTAGAACCGTCTTCATTCGAAAGAGCTTCCCGTTGCGTTCAAAGAGTTTCTGCAGGTCTGAGCCGAATCGTTGCATGACCATGAATCTGTACTTGACTCCAGCATGTTCGTAGAGACCCGAGTTGATGTACTTGGGAATACCCAAGTATTTGAGTTTCTTCTCAGTGATCCATTTTGATACTGACAATAAGAAATCAGTGTATAGCTTTACAAGTAAAAGTGAAAGAGACACACTAACGTGTTGCAATTCTTTCTCAGGTAATGAATGAAAGTGTCAATGACACTATAGCTCACCTTGGGTGTGATAGAAGAGGGAGATGATATTTAAAATTTGGTAAGTGTTTCATTTATGACGGACCAAAATGTGATCAAATGTCCCTATTCCCTGTTTTATACTAATACAAATTTCACTGGTTTGTTTCAGGGTTATTTTTGATGCAAAAATAAATGTTTAAGATCTGAAAGTCTGAAATCTGGGCGAGAGATGGCGCTACGCCTAAATGATCGTCATTTCGGTTTTCGATTATCGCGCAAATAAAAGCAATAAAATATTCCAGTCAAATTACTGTAACGAAGAATCAAAAACACAATATTACACGTAGGTATGATTAGGTAGGTAGGTAGGTAAATTTAACAAAATCCAATGAATCTAGATGGCCATTTTCAGTTTTGCCAAAAAGTGAGTGTGGCTCGAAAGTAGGTCAACTGGCGTGCTCCAAAATAGGATGTTAAATCCCTCCCATATGAGTAACAACTGTATGCATGTGGGTCAAACGGTTCTAAAGTTATCGTTGACCGTAGGCAGACACTGAAGTGCATAGTGAAATTGGCAAAATCTACCTAATTTGCATAATTTAAAAAAAAATTTAAAACCCGTGTTATATGTTTTGGGGCCAGTCCTTATTCATTCACATACCAAAAATGAGCAATATTCATTGAACCTGAACTGACTTATGGCCATTTCCATTTTTGCCAAAAAGTGGGCGTGGCTCGAAAATAGGTCGACTGGCGTGCTCCAAAATAGGACGTTCAAATCTCACCCATAGGAGTAACAACTGTATGCAATTTGAAACATGTGGGTCAAACGGTTCTTGAGTTATCGTTGACCGTAGGCAGACACTGAAATGCATAGTGAAATTGCCAAAATCTACCTAATTTGCATAATTTAAAAAAAAATATCAAAACCCAATCATACCAAAAATTAGCAAAATCCGTTGAACCTGAACTGACTTATGGCCATTTCCATTTTTGCCAAAAAGTGGGCGTGGCTCGAAAGTAGGTCAACTGGCGTGATCCAAAATAGGACGTTCACATCTCTCCCATAGGACGAGTAACAACTGTATGCAATTTGAAACATGTGGGTCAAACGGTTCTCCAGTTATCGTTGACCATAGCCAAATGTTGACGGACGGACGAACGTACGACGGACGACACCCCATGGCAATAGCTCATGTTGACGATGTCAATGTGAGCTAAAAATGAAGTAAACGGCAGAATCCACATGTCATTGTTATTGGTAACTTACACATATCAGCTTTTGCTGCTCGCTGGTAAAAATGTACTTCGCAGAAGAGAGGTCCATTTCCAACTGGTTCCTAAAATTGTGAAAACTGTTAATCTAGATAGAAAGCCAAATAAAGTACAATAAAAAATTAATTGACTGGGTCTGAGGGTGGATCAGTTGCCTAGAATCCTGCCTACCTCTTTATACCTCTTAATTCTTTATCTTTTTTTATTATACAATTAGAATAGCCACTTTGTATACTAGGTACACAAATACTGCATTTACACTCAGTAACCTACCAATAAAATATTAATTAGTATATCGAGTTACACATACAATTGATTTACACAAGATTATTTATGCAAATACAAACAACTTTTGGTCTATCCAAAATTTTACAGAATCGTGATTACATACCACTTTGATAACGTATTCAGCCTTCGCCCCTACAGGCTTATCCACATCATCGGATGCTAAATAGATGGCGCCAAAACCTCCAGTGCCAATTACTGTCCCAAGCTGCCAACGTTTCTTAAAGACATCAGTAAGAATTTCTCCCGCAGGAAGAATACTTGCAATTTTCGGTTGTATCTGTCCTTTGGGAGCTGTAAGTGGAAACATGGACACACATTTATACCAAGTTATACTACATTTACACTGGGTTATACCACACTGGGCATTGAAAAACAAGAAATACTAGTTCATAGACTATTCAGGACAGGTCACTGACACACGCACGCACGAAACCGATCACATAACCTCCCCTCCAACTTCGTTGGGCGGAGGTAATGACATATACCAATCTCTAATATAGCCTTATTTGCATTACACGTCTAGGTTTAGACAAGCTCTAGTACTATAGCCCGCGTACAGTTGCCGCAGGGCTATATAACATTTTATGCCAGGTTTCGTAACTCCCACGGCAGGGAGCTTTTTCAATTTTTGCACTGAAATGGAGCGATCTGGTGCACATCGAAGGTGAAAATTTCAAATTTTTAAATGGAAGAAAAACGGAAATAACACCTTTTCAGTACATGTCTATGTACATGTCAACTATAGTGAAGTATATGTGGCGGGTGCATTTTAGGATGGCGGTGCTTGAGGATAGCCTGGCAGGTCGCCAGGCTATAAGTGCTCTTGGAGAACCCTGAACACGTCTAATTTTTATAAATAATAAGTAATCTTAGAGACTACGTGAACACAGATAAGATAATCCTACACAAATAAATGCATAGACTTTTAGGGTCAACATTCATGTACAGTGCATGTACTGATTACCGTAAATATAGAAATTACAGTAAATGTGAATGTAGCCATCCTTAGTGCGATCAGGCCAACGATTAATTTTATGGTAAAAACATGCAATAAAATACATCTAGCTGCGTTGAATATTAAACCACAGGTGCCTACTCGATTTTTTGTTCCATGACGTGATCACAGTCGGTCAAGTTGTCTTCCCAGGGCAGCTTTCCACACAACCACTGCAGCAAGCAGTACCCCAAAATCTCAATGTCAGCTCTTCGTGAAGGCACTATGAAAACAACCACAAACACATTACACGTGACGATGGAAAACAGCACGACAGCAAAAACCTCTCGGTGAGTGGTTTGTTTGTATTTGTATGTGGCAAATTTGACAAGAATCAGTGTTTCCCCTGCATTGATACGAGCGAGCTGGGCCACCTCGCTCAAATTCTCAGCCGCCACACAGAAATTTGTCCAAAACACTGCCTCGCTGACGAAAATCACTGCTCTTCCATAGAACAGTGCTTATAATGCACCAAAATAGCTTAGAATGCACCAAATTGCACTATTGTTTCAAAAATTTACAGGGGGGCGGGCATGCCCCCGGACCCCCTAGCTGGACGAGCACTTGTGGTGCTCACTTTGCTAGGACCTCGAAACGTGCAAACACAATAAAAAACCACTTTTTGGCTAGTGGAAACACTGAGAATGATAGACTTCCATAGCTCTACTGCAGCGTGTGTCAGCTTTCCGGAATCGCATGCATTCATTCTTAATGAAAGTGTCAATGACACTGTAGCTCACCTTGGGTGTGATAGAAGAGGGAGGGGGGATATATAAAGCAAGAATATATATGGGAGAACTCCCATTATATAGCATAATCTCCCATTATATACTCTTGATAATGATATATGCATTTTTGATGCGAAAATAAATGTTTCAGATCTGAAAGTCTGAAAGTCTGAAATCTTGACGAGAGATGGTGCTACGCCTAAATGATCGCCATTTTGGTTTTCGAATATCGTGCAAATAAAAACAATAAAATATTCCAGTCAAATTACTGTAACGAAGAATCTAAAACATAATATTACACGTATATAGTAGGTATAATTGTAGAGTTGTTAACCAGTTAGACGAAATAAACGTAATAGGACGTTGTCATCTCTCCCATAGGAGTAACAACTGTTTTCGGGCTAGCCTTACACATTCACATACCAAAATCGAATGAATTTAGATGGCCATTTTCATTTTTGCTAAAAAGTGGGCATGGCTCGAAAGTAGGTCGACTGGCATGCTCCAAAATAGGAAGTTCAAACCTCTTCCATAGGAGTAACAACTATATGCAATTTGAAACATGTGGGTCAAACGGTTCTTGAGTTATTGTTGACCGTAGCCAAATGTTGACGGATGGACGTACGATGGACGACACCCCATGGCAATAGCTCATCTTGACGATGTCAAGGCGAGCTAAAAATGGATGAATGAACATCATTGACACCAAGCATGTCAATCTTGAAATACACCATGCAATGCAGACGTCAAATTTCAATCATTTAGAAAGTTTTGTCTTCAGTTTAATCAGCAATTTTAGCGGCACTGCAGCATGTTGGAGGGGCACCAATGCAAAGATATCATTGAGGGGCAGTCAGGTAGGTTTTTTTTACTTGATTAATACTTGAGACAGGGTTAGATACGTACACAACGCAGGAAGGCAACGGGCGGAAACCAAGTAGAGCAACCACGGTGGTTTACTGCCATGGACAATTAAAGGATACAGTCAAGCTTTTATGCGGAATTTTACCGATTTTTCATTTTCATTCTTATTCGATGGCCAACACTAGGTGCCACCTCTGTACATACTCATTTAACGATGCATGTGAACTTTCAGAGCGTTTTAATTGCCCGCGTACATGTGTAGTGGACAATTTAAGAGGAACCACAGCAAGCAAAAAAGTCAACCGCAACACTTTTGCCGTCAGCGACGTGGCGAAACTCGAGCCCCGTGCATCGGTCACTCACTCACCAACGCCCTTGTGCATGTCGATGCAGGTAAACTCCACCGTTCCGTCGTGGGCTCGGCGTGGATCCTCGGCATAACCCTTGTGTCTGCCGTCGGGGCTGTATCGAACGACGAGGCCATAGTCCACGAGGTAAACCTGTAACAGTTACAGTTACAGTGATCACTCTAGCCATTTATCAAATGGGGTCCTGGGCCCCCTATTGTTCCAATTTAGGGGCCCTTGCAAAAACCCAAAGGCGCAAAGCCTTCTTAGGGGGGTCCAGGAGCATGCCCACATCTGGGAATTTTTTTCAGGCAAACATCAAAATTTTGTGTTTGTTATAATTTCACTAGCTTCACCCCTTGACATTTAAGATATTCAATGTGGACGGGCGCATGATCAAAATAAATTTGCATCCGCAACAATTTTTTTGCGTCAAGAGGGCGCGGACGCTGCATTCGGATGCGGCTTTACAGTAAATATTACATTACTAACGCAAGGACGCATCCAAAAATTAACACTGCCATTACAGATGAAGTTACACTTCCGACAACACAGCAACAACCTTACATCGTCACTACGCGGTCGGCGCTACCTCGAAAGATAATAAATTGAAAAATGTTCGGCTCCCGATTCGAAATCGAGTGTGGTGGACAATCGAATTTCTGTTACGCGACTGTTTGTGAATGCGACGTAAAGTTGGAATCAGCTCACACCTCTTTTGGTTTTTTCCAACCCAGCAGTAGGTTGGCAGCTTTGATGTCAGCATGGACATGCTCGTTCTCATGCATGTACTCAAGGATATCCAACTGGAAATGGAACACGAGGGGTGGAAATTAACTTCAGATCAAGGTTCGGCTCTCCAAAACATGGAGTCCAAAGCAAAATGTGGGCAGTATTCCATGGTTTAAAACTCACGACAATGTATCTATAATAAGTGACGAGAAGCTAATACGCAATCACAATGGGCACAGATATCTTGGATATCTAGACTCCAGACTCGCGTTAATTTCGAATCCTGGAACATTTTAACATTAATCCATATACACGTGCAAATCATCATGTTATCGGTAATCCCTGGTCTGCATGTATGCATGTTCACTAGAGCCCAGGGCACAAAATTCAGATTTGTTGCACCGGCCCAGAGCGCTGGTAACAGTAAGTTTTACCAACCCTCACAAATTTGTTTGTAAAATCAATGTCATGTTTCACGCTTGCATTCTCGAATTCAAATTTGTAAAATGTTGATAAGGTATGGCGTGATATCCTTCAGGTAAAACAGTAATGTAGGCTATTTGCTATAAATAATGAAAGTGTCAATGACACTGTAGCTCACCACAAAAAAGGACACAAATGAGTGAGTGAGAAGAACGCGAAAACAGCACGCAGGCCTAACGCACGCTTGATTAACGCAGAGAGCCGGTATACCGACCGTAACCCAGTCGTACAGTCCGGCAGTAACCTGGCGGGACATAGACCCATGAGCGTTAGTTTTATGCTATATATTTTATATAGTTCCTTTTATTCTTTTAGGCTTTAGTTTCTGCACTTTAGTTCTTAAGTCTTTTTAATTAATAAATAGTTGATGTATTTCTTATGCTAATATCCCTAGCAGCTTGGATTCTATAAGGCAAAACTGGTTTGTCAGCAACATGGAAGTCAACTAAAGATAAAAGCCTAGATCGGTGCATGTTATTATAGTGTTGTAAATATCATTCAGCAATGTTATTTTTTACATCGAGCCAGAGGTTATCCGGTGTGCTGTGAGGCCCAAGGATAGAACTGGAAAATGGGTTCTGTACGCCCTGAAAAAGATTCACTGATTTCATATCTCTTTATTCCTATTACATGTATTTCATATTGATTGCATATATATAACTTCACTATAGTGTGACATGTACATTAAGGACATGTACTGAAAAGGTGTTATTTCGCGTTTTTCTTCCATTTAAAAAAATTTGAATTTTCACTTCGATGCACCAGATCGCTCCATTTCAGTGCAAAAATTGAAAAAGCTCCTGCCGTGGGAGTTACGAAACTGGCATAAAATGTTATTATAGCCCTGCGGCAAAACTCGTACGCGGGCTATAGTACTAGAGCTTGTCAAACTAGACGTGATAAATTAGCAAATAAGGCTATATTAGAAGATTGGTATTATATGTCATTACCTGCCGCCCAACGAGTTGGACGGGAGCGTTGATACTGTGATCGGTTTCGTGCGCTGTCGTCAACGCTGTGCAGTGAACCTGTCTGAATAGTCTATGAACTAGCTATTTCATTGTTTTCAATGCCACTGTTGGTATAACCCAGTGTAATGTAGTATAAACTTTGGTATAAAATGTGTGTCATGTTTCCATTACAGCTCCCAAAGGACAGATAACAAACCGCAAATTGCCAAGTATTCTTCCTGCGGGAGAAATTCTTACTGATGTCTTTAAGAAAACGTTTGGCAGCTCTGGGACAGTAATGGCCTGGAGGTTTTGGCCGCCATCTATTGTGCATCGATGATGTGGATAAAGCCTGTAGGGGCGAAGGCTGAATACGTTATCAAAGTGGTATGTTTAATCACGATTTCTGTAAAATTTGGATAAATAATACACAAAGTTGTTATGTATTTGCATAAAATAATCTTGTGTGATATAATCTAATGTATGTAGACTCTGTAACTAACAATAATTGGTAGGTTACTGGTAAATCCTAGTATTTTGTACCTAGTATACAAAGTGGCTATTTCTAATTGTATAATAAAAAAAAGATAAGAATTAAGAGTATAAAGAGGTAGGCAGGATTCTAGGCAACTGATCCACCCTCAGACCAGTCACTTAATTTTTTATTGTTACTTTATTTGGGCTTTCTATCTAGATTAACAGTTTCACAATTTTAGGAACAGTTGGAAATGGACCTCTCTTTCTGCGAAGTACATTTTTACCAGCGAGCAGCAAAAGCTGATATGTGTAAGTTACCAATAACAATGACATGTGGATTCTGCCGTTTACTTCATTTTTAGCTCACATTGACATCGTCAACCATGAGCTATTGCCATGGGGTGTCGTCCGTCGTACGTTCGTCCCTCCGTCAACATTTGGCTATGGTCAACGATAACTGGAGGAACCGTTTGACCCACATGTTTCAAAATTGCATACAGTTGTTACTCCTATGGGAGAGATGTGAAGTTCCTATTTTGTGATTCACGCCCGTTGACCTACTTCGAGCCACGCCCATTTTTCAAAAATGAACATTGCATAAGTCAGTTCAGGTTCAACGGATTTGCTAATTTTTGGTATGATTGGGTTTTGATATTTTTTTTTAAATTATGCAAATTAGGTAGATTTTGGCAATTTCACTATGCATTTCATTTGTCTGCTACGGTCAACGATAACTCAAGAACGCTTGACCCACATGTTTCAAATTGCATACAGTTGTTACTCCTATGGGGTGAGATTTGAACGTCCTATTTTGGAGGCACGCCAGTCGACCTAATTTTCGAGCCACGCCCACTTTTTGGCAAAATTGAAATGCCATAAGTCAGTTCAGGTTCAATGAATAATTGCTCATTTTTGGTATTGAATGAATAAGGGCTGGCCCCAAAATACATATCACACGGGTTTTGATTTTTTTTTTTAATATGCAATTAGGTAGATTTTGCCAATTTCACTATGCACTTCAGTGTCTGCTACGGTCAACGATAACTTAGAACCGTTTGACCACACATGCATACATGTTGTTACTCATATGCGTCGCTTCTACGCTCTCTTTTGGAGCACGCCAGCTTGACCTACTTTCGAGCCACACTCATTTTTGGCCAAAAAACTGAATGCCATCTAGATTCATTGGATTTTGTTAAATTTACTACCTACCTACCTAATCATCCTACGTGTAATATTGTGTTTTTTGGATTCTTCTTACAGTAATTGACCTGGAGATATTTTATTGCTTTTATTATTGCGCGAATAATCGAAAACCGAAATGACGATCATTTAGCGTAGCGCCATCTCTCGCCAGATTTCAGACTTTCAGATCTTAAACAATTATTTTTTGCATCAAAAATAACCCTGAAACAAACTGTGAAATTTGTATTAGTATAAACAGGGAATAGGGACATTTGATCACATTTTTGGTCCGTCATAAATGAAACACTTACCAAATTTTAAATGATCATCTCCCTCTTCTATCACACCCATAGGTGAGCTATAGGTGTCATTGACACTTTCATTCATTACCAGAGAAAGAATTGCAACACGTTTAGTGTGTCTCTTTCACTTTTACTTGTAAAGGTATCACGATTTCTTATTGTCAGTATCAAAATGGATCACTGAGAAGAAACTCAAATACTTGGGTATTCCCAAGTACATCAACTCGGGTCTCTACGAACATGCTGGAGTCAAGTACAGATTCATGGTCATGCAACGATTCGGCTCAGGACCTGCAGAAACTCTTGAGGCGCAACGGGAAGCTCTTTCGAATGAAGACCGTTCTACAGTCGGTTGAGGATCGTACGTATAGATTTCATTCAGGGTTATCAGAAACGTTGCTTACCTGTGAGGATAATTCATAGTGGGAACTGGAAGGTCTAGCCAGCTGTAGTCACGACTGAGTTGCACCAAATGCCTGGTTGGTGGCTCTCAGGGCGTGAAATTAGCACCGGCCCTCCGAGCCGGTGGTTTCAGCCGTGTTAGCGAGTACCTACATTTTTTAGCCTCACCTTGACATCGTCAAGCTGAGCTATTGCCATGGGTCGTCGTCCGTTGTACGGTCTGTCCGTCCGTCCGTCAACATTTGGCTACGGTCAACGATAACTCAGGAACCGTTTGACCACATGTTTGAAATTGGGTATAGTTGTTACTGCTATGCTCCCATATTAAACGTCCTATTTTGGAGCACGCCAGTCAACGTACTTTCGAGCCACGGCAATTTTTTGTCAAAAATGGGAATTGCCATTAGTCAGTTTCAGGTTCAACGATTTTGCTCATTTTTGGTATCTGTGAATGAATAAGGGCTAGGGTTTTGATATTTAAAAAAAATTATCAAATTAGGTACGGGTTTGGCAATTATATAGCATATTATATATAAGACACACACAGATAACAAACAGTGTGGTGTCACACTCGTCTGGTTCGTTTTACAAGATTTCATTGACAATATCTTTAATGCAAAATTCCTAGCTATGACATATTATTGTATCCCCGAACGAAGTTCTGGGGATACTATGGGTTTGCATCCGCCGCCGCCGCCGTAGAGATTTCCTTTGATGCGCTCTACGGCTGCAGTTCTTCTCGCGATCATCTTACAATTTCGAATGAAGGTGCGTTATCGTAAAGCGAAGACACTATTGTTTTTGGTGTGGGCGGAGTCATTCGTTCCATGGTAACAACATTTTTGTCGAAATATTCTATAACCTGTAACTTCTGCAGCTTTTTACCCAATTGTCATGAAATTTATATTTGTATTAAAATTTATTATTAAAATTTATATTAAAATTTAAATTTTAAAATTTTAAAATAAAATTTAAATTTAAAATAAAAATTTAAATTTAATATTTTGTATTTAAATTTATATTTAATGATTGTCATCAGGACATGTTATATCGCCCTGTGTGCCAAATTCCATGACAATCGGGTAAAAACAGCACAAGTTACAGGTTCTACAATATTTCCACAAAAATGTTGTTACCAATGGCAACGATGACTCCGCCCACACCAAAAACGATTGGCGTCTTCGCTTTACCATAACGCACCTTCATGCAAATTTGAAGATGATCCGAGATCGGGTAAAAACTGCCCACCAGGTCCATTCGACCTTATTTTCCCTTTACCTTGACCTTGATCATATTCTCTTCCGCTCTCTAACTCAGCCCTAATTGACCTAGCGCAACCAAACTTGGTATCTTACACATCTTGGGGAGTAAAGGTCTGTCGCATACCAAAACCACACTGCCCTTGACCTTAGTTTGACCTTCATCGTCGACTTACATCTCCTCTTCGGCCTCCTAGGGTACCAATTCCATATACTCACATCTGGGGCACACCAGTTGTCTAACAAAACCTTTGTCTTTGTGACTATTTTAACTTACCTGGCCTTCTACGTCTTTACAGAGATATTCTATTCATACTAGATCACGGCGCGTGGGATACATGTAGTTGACGACAACTGCCCGCTCATTTCTTATTATATATTATTATTTGATATAAATGATTTATGCTAAGAAACTCAAAGCGGGTATAGCGCCAATCTACCGTCACAAATTGTGATTCATTTTGGTTATAATTATTTTTATACTTATATATAATATATTTTATTATTTTCACATAAAAATTACACATATAATTATCAAGAGTATATAATGGGAGTTTCTCCCATATATACTCTTCGTTTCTAATATGTTACTGTGTCGGATGGCTTGCTCAATAAAACTGACTAATCTTCGT